AAAGACAATCTTTTTGATAGTCCTTTGTTGCTTTGTTTTTTTTTATTGTTCCGAAATTTTTTTAAACTTGTTTAAAGACTTTTCTGTGGATTATAGAGACCTACACATACCAAATTGTACGCCTGTGCACAGTTTTGCCTCTCGTATTGATTCATTCAAGTAAGAATTTTCTGTGATGTTTGCACCAAAAAAAGTGGTCTCCATAACCTTTTTCTACAAACTTTTGCCGTATTACAAGCAATAACAAAAAGTTGCTTAAAAACAAAAAGGTCCCTATCAAGCAATCTATCATATAATTTGACATGTATTTTAAAAACCAATAGACCCGTCTAGATCACCCTTAGATAGACCATGCCCGTTTGCAGTTGTCGTCTCTGAGCGCAAAGAAAAACAAGGATAGCCGGTGGCTATGCAAGTAGCAGAGAATCTTCCAACCATAATCTGAAAAAATAAAAAAAATGTTTTTCAGTTTTTTTTTTCCAAATTTATGTTTTTCAGGTTTTTTTCCAAAATTAGATTGCGAGTCATAAGATGAATGCAACTGATGATAACCTAGAAGTTAGCCATATTCAACAATCAGAGTAAAGTAAGTCAATCGGGCAACGATTTTTTTTTTGTCAAAAAATGACAAAAAAAGTCAAAAACAATTTCTAATTTTTTTTCAATAGTTTTTTTTTGCAGAAATGGTTTCGAAACTTTGAAGTTTTTAATACGAAGATGGCGCTAAAGACCACTTCGAACATTTTTTTTTACTGGAGTTCAACTGAAGTATCAAGGCTTATTCTTCTAACATAAACCTGCTCGCTTGTTTGACTCGCTCGAAAATTGACTTACTCTGAAAACCGGTTTTCCTCAACACTGGGATGTTATGAAAAAATAAATTGTCGTTCGAATCAGTGCTGAAAGGTCTTTAGTATGATATATCACTCCACCCATGACGATGATTATTTGCGGTGATTGCTTTTAATTGAAAAACAAAATAAGCCTGCTCGCTCACATATTCACTCGAAATTAGAACAAATATCAAAAATTGTGTACTGATTTTTCTCGCCACTGGTAGATTTTTCAAAGTTTGTTAATGTCATTTGAATCGCGACTGAACGGGCTTTAGTATGATATATTGCTCGATCCGTTCTGATGATATTTTTTGTTACCTGATTATGCGTAGAAATAAGAAAAAAGTAAGTAAAAAACCCCAATACAAAGTTCCTCTCCATTTTCAATGGTCGGATCAACAAGAATTTTCAATCGGATAGTGAAATGATACCAATGCTCACAATAATTTAAAATTTGAGACCTCAGCGTCAAAATGTGTTTGACTATGCTTATTGGAAAACAACACTCCGAAAGGCTGACAATTATGCCTTATTGACGCTCTTAATTTTGGTGCTTACCTTCATGGTTAATCGCCTACGATAATGTAAATTATCTATGAATCAAATTGAAAACAAATGGGTCATCATTAATTATTGTTGTTTTTTGTCTCTTCTCGGGTGCTTTGTTTGTTTTTGTGGGCATCTTTCTTGTATCTATATTAGGTGCGTGAGCATAAAAGTATCGATGGAAGTTCCTTCGGAGACTGTATGGCCGTGTTGTGCTGCTACCCGTGTGCACTATGTCAGGAGGCCATAGAAGTGGAGGCCAACCTCATGGCAGAAGGCCATACACAGACACCTTCTGCTACTCCCACCATCATCAGGGCATGAATGCAAACTGTGGAAAATGAACTTGAAATACTGTCAAACCGGAAAAACAGACTGGAAAATGATATTGAAGGAACAGATTCCAAGGATTTTGAAAAATATGTATTTTTTAAATTGCAAGTAACTTGTCTTTACAGTTTTTTTTTAGAAGATTGGGAAAATAAAAAAGGCAAATTAAGAAAACGCGACTAGGAAAAGACCAAAAAGGAAGTTTACAGTTTGCCTTTTTAAAGATTGGTTTTGGATCAGTCGAATAGACTGCAAACCAACAGATAGAGAAATTCACAGTTTGTAGAGGAGGTTTTGAATAAACAATCTCCCTCCCCCATACGCCCCCTCCAAACCTCCTTCCCCCCCTCCCCCCCCCCCCCCCCCACTGACACACGACTCCCACCCGCCCCCAATGGTATCTCCTAAAGAATATCCATTCCTCTAAATAAAAAACATTTAATTAGCTCTAAAGCGTTCTATTGAGAATTCTATTTTTGTTGCATTCGGATTAGTCGAATAACTGATAAATTCAATCTATTTAATAATCTGCCACTTTCTTGAAAGGGGGAGATTGTTAAGTAAATTCGAAGTTTCTACTTGCAAAACAATTGAGCAACTGTAAAACTAGAATAAAAGCTTATGACAGAAAGCACCGTTGCCGATGCCTCAATAACATTGCATATCTTTATTTTTAAAAAATTCTCCACCTAGGTTCAAGAAATTAACAGAAAAACACCAAAGATTTTTCATTTCGAGACAAAAATAAAACAAGAATAGCCGATTGCTGTGCAAGTAGCACAGAATGTTTCAACCACATTTTCAGAAAAACAAATTGTTTCTTAGTGTTTTTATTTGTATATCATGTGATAAAACAACTATATGAACGCGTAAAAAATTTGTGAATTATGCATAAACGAATCATATGGTCTTCAAAAAATAAATTATAAATATAAACTTTTTCGAACTTTTTCTCCTTTTTCTCCACTCAAAATTTTAAAGATTTTTCAAAACTATGTATTTTTTGCCAGAGAAGAGCTAAATTAAGCTTCTTTTTAGTAAAAACAAGTTTTTTTAGCCTAAACTTCTAATTTCCTTTTTAGACAAACGTTAATTGATTGTAAACGCTTTACTTGCTCGAAATTAGATGAAAACTCAAATATTTCAAACCGGTTTTTCTCGACTTAAGAAAAAGTTTTGAGAAATGTGGTTTAATGTGGTTCGAATCGCGACTGAAACAATTTTAATATCTAAGTAGTCATGATTTCATTTGAAATATTGAGAATTTATTTCTCACCAAGTATCAAACATTTCCTAAATGATTTTCGGCGCTGAGACACCTGCCAGCGGACTTCAGAGTCCAATGGTGCTATCCCAGTCAATAGAAACGAAATTGGAAAAAATTTTTCTTTCAATTGAAATTTTGTCGTAGTTTGTTCAGTTTATTTGCTATGTTTAAGTGCCAATGAGCAAAGTGGTGTAGACAAGTAGGTAGGTTACGCTGATTTTTATTTCTTATTATCAGATAAAAAGATAAAAACAGCAGCGACAGCGATTTGAACTTTGACTTTAATTCAACTCAAATGTTAAAAACAAAGCAGTTCAAATCAATTTTTTTAAGTATAAAAGCCGAAAATGCTCAAAAAATGTGAACGACGCAGAATTTAAAATTTTGGTTTCCAAATTTTTCACGATTTCGCAAGTTAACCTCCAATTCTACTGAAAGTAGTGTAATGCATTTCTTTCTAAGTTTGCAAAACATCTGAGCTAGCTCACGTAGATCTGGTATCTAATAATCGATAATCTTCTTGTTAATAATAAGAACTTTTGCAAAATGCAAATTCGTCGTGTCTAGAATGATCAAAGAAATTTAATTTGTACAAGTATTTAGTTCAGCTGGGTGACTACTATGCAAAAAAAACGGCAAAACGTTAAAAAAAGTTGACTGTATTCCACTAGAAATTACTTGAGACTTTGAAGTGGAAGTTTTTCACAGGAGCTTTTCCGTGCGAATGAGTTTTTGTTCCAATTTTTCCTATTTCTGCTAAATTTCTTGGGGAAATCTCATAAGAAACCCCACGGTTTCAAACCTAAAAAAGTTTGGCGACGCAAATTTTTGTAGCTTGAATGAAATTTGCAGAAAAATTTAGATAAATTGTTTTAAATTTATAGAAAGCTTAAAAACATTTCAAGATTCTTAGATGCGGCTATTCATAGAAGTAAAAAGTAATTTTCTTTCCCACGAAAATCGGCTGGGAAATCTCATTCCCAATGTAATCTTGGTCCACACCGATCGCCCATGGATCATAATAGTTTATAATGTCATAATATGGGCAGTATATATTTTTTATGCCAACGTAACCCTTTATAATCAATCATAATCGATTATAATCAATTATAATGAATTTTTTTTGAGACGTTATTCATGAAATTTACAACTTGTTTCAGAGTCATTTCATTTTTTTGTTTAATGCAGTTGCTACGTACGCTTCATGAATTGTTACTTTTCACATTAAAATTTATATATTTTTTTGTCTTCCATCCCCCTCCCCCCAGTTTACTCTACGCCCACAGCTTACTTAACCCCTTCCCCCTCAGTTTACGTTTATTTTAGTAGGGGGGTGGTAAAAAAAAACTTGAGGGGGTGACGTTGAGACATGGGGCTTAGTAAAAGTCATAGCATACATTTGGTAGCATAGTATAGAAAAATAAAAAGGATTATATTCGATTATAATGGATTATAATGGATTTTTATTTCAAAAAAATCAATTATAATGGATTATCTTGGCAAAAATATTCGATTTTAGTGCCAAAAATAATGAATTATAATGAATTATTATTTTTTCAAAAATAATCGATTATAATGCAAAATAATCGATTTAGTGGTCTGAATTTTACTTCTGTAATCAATTGTAATGGATAATTTTTGCCTCTGGAATCCATTATAGTCGATTAGAATCCATGGGCGCTCGGTGCGGGGGTTAAATTGATCTTTCACTCCGATACTAGCGGAGTAATTAATCTTTACGCAGAAGCACGCTTTAGTGCTTACATGTTGTAAGCATGTTAGCTAAGATATCTAGTACTCCGCTCATTGAAGTAAGTTATCATTAAAAGAGTTGAGAGTACACAGTAAAACGTGGGCTCTGATCAAAGAAAGATGCGTCTTTCATATTAAATGTCTTCCAATTTGAGATGCGTCCTAACTTGAGCAGCTAAATCATAGATACAAATATATGCTCAGAAGTTGATTTCCTTTCAATATTTGGTTTTTGGCCCCTTCCTTTCCTGGTCCTCAATTGTCTTTTTCTCACAAGTGAAACAACAGCACTTCAAACCCTCAACGCACAATGTGGTTTCCAAGACAAAAGAAACTGTTCAAATAGTACTCGCGCCAACAATTGGAACATACCATCGATCAGGAACCAAATCTCACGAAATATCACCAGTTCACAATGCAATCAAACCTTTCAAAGAATCGACTCTCGAAATTTGAGTAAACTTTTATTCGAGGATTTCCAGCAAATTGTTGCAAAACTGCGCAGTTTTTTCGTATGTTAAATAGTCTCTTGAATCATGACTGAGTGGAAAGAAAGTCTTTTTGGCTGTTTCAGCGACTGCAAAATCACAATTTGCGTGTTTCTTGTCCCATGCTACGTACAAGGTAATCGTTTTTAATCTGCCGTCTGAAATATGACAAATGAATTTCAGACTCTACTACTGTTTTAACCAACAATCTTTTTTTTTTTCAGTTTCAATTTTTGTTTCATGAGAACAAGTTTGTTTCATGTTTGATAGATGTCGTCATCTACTCTTTAAAAAAATGTGGTTCCTGCAGAGTTGTAAGCTAAGAACAAACAAAAACAAGGATAGATCGTTGCTGTTCCAGTTGTACAGAATGTTCCGACCATGGTCTTGATATATATACTTTTTTCAATTTAGTGTAGTTTTTTTCTGAGTTGTGTGACAAAATTCTGAACGAAAAAATAGCACTTAGGCATATTCTACATTCATAATAAAAAATCCAATTGAAAAACGTTTTTTTTTTTATAAAACGAGCAAAAAATCGTTAAAAGAATTCAAAAACTTTCCCATGAGTTTTTCAACTTTTTAGCAGAAAGTTTTAAATTTGAATAAGCCTGCTATTAGCCTGAAATAAGAGCAAAAATCAAAAATTACTAACTGGTTTTTCTCGACACTGAGAAAATTTTACAAAATCTTTCAATGACTGAAAGTGCTTTAATATGATATATCAATCGACCCAATCCAATGATTATTTGTGGCCCCTGATTTTGCGTGGAAAACAAAAAAAAACATTAGAAAAAACTAAAACACACCCGGATGCAAAGTTCCTACACATTTTTAAATTGAAATATCGGAGCAGCAAGGGAAAAAAGTGAGTTGTTTTTACGCAATAGATAAACAAAATTATTTGTCATAATTGGTTGAGTAAACACCCGCTTTGGTCCGCCACTAAAAATCAGTACTGTTTCAGTAATGCAACAGTATAAAAACAGATTTGCAATATAAACAGATTTGCAATATATATATTTACAAAGATTAAGTAAAACGAAATTAGAAAAAAAACAGTAAGCAACTTGTTGAAATACTAAAACAATTGGATGTAATATTTATTAAAATAATAAATTCTTACCACTTTCTTACATCACAAATACCAAATTAACCGAAAAATTGATAAATCAAATTCAAAAATAACTATCCAGCTTTTAATTGTTCCCAGGTAGGGGTGGATATAGGATTTTCTTGAGCCGAGGATTTTCAAAAAAAAATTAAATTAAAAAAAATTTTTGTCGACCTTTGTTTTTTAGGCCGACCAAATTGATTTTCTGAACTCTCCCAAATCATTATAAAAGCCCCACGTTGACATTTTGTTCTGCGCCGCAGTCAATTTTTTGAAAACACAGGCCAAAAAAGCGCTAAATTTTAGGGTCAGTCAGCCGAAAATGGATATCTCAAAACAGTACAAAGGGGGGACCCTTTGGGTCAGCAGGGGGCTGAATCATTGAGGGGAGAAGTAAGCGTACGCCTCCCCTCCCCCCCCTAAATCCGCTGGTGTTTGAAGGTAATTCCACTTAGATAAAATTCAGTCTGGCCAATAAGATCATTAATGAATGTACAGATCCGTTTTCAGGTGTCTCTGAAACAGATTTGCTTTCAGGTGTATCTGTGTACTCTTATGAGTTGATTTGTAATTATATAACTTGAAAAAACTTATATTTTTTGTCCTGAAATTTTATTACCCAAAACGTATATTTCCATATTAGAAGTTAAACGCATATCGCAAATAAATAAACTTAGATGCCTAATTTGTTAGAAAAAAAGAGCAAAAAGAAAACGGCATTAACAGAAGAGTGGAAAATTAAACATACAATGTTTTAATCCCTGCTCTTATCCCCCCCCCCACCCAAGCCCCCACACCCAACACTTTGTTAGCGGAGCGCTCTCACCTACCACTGTTACAGGTTGTGTACCTTGTTGTAATTGTTTGTAGGAAAAATAGCGGAGTCTATGGGGGACAGTTGCATCCTGTACGGCTGTGCGTTCCTCATCCCCCTAGCGAACCTTATCAGCGCGATAGTGCAGAGAGTCAAGGTGAGTTCGTTATCGCAGCATTTATAAACAGGAAAACAAGCAGTTTAGTTCTGATGTACAAATGTGTAATATCCGGGTTTCAATTTTTTTACAAAAGTTTTTCGACCTTTTTTTTAGAACAAATCGATTTTTCGAGCTCTTCTGAAGCACTTCAAAAACAACAGTATACAAAAAAAAAACGCTGCAGCCAGTAAACAGTGGATGTTTTTCAAGACCTGAAGTTCTTTATTTCTTATATAAGTTGATTTTCAGGTCGTTGATAAGATATTTAAAATTTCAGATCTGAAATAATCTTAAAAACAAAGTTTCAGATCTGAGATTGAATTAACCCAATCCGAAAACATACAAGCGTTATTCTATAATTTCACAACCCATTTCAGATCTGAACTTTAGATCTTGAAAAGATTGTTTCAGATAAGAAAAAGAAATTTTAAAAAGTACAGGAGGCAAATTAGAACTAGTATGCAAAAATTGTTTCAAAACTCCGTTTTGAGAACCTTTTCTTGATAGTTTTTGTGTAAACGCAATGACCCACCATCATGAGCAGTAAAAATATCGAGAATACTCTTAAAGCAATCCTTACGAGAGCAAACTGTGTGTTTTGAGAATTGTAGGCGGATTCCGCAACAAAGACAATCTTTTTGATAGTCCTTTGTTGCTTTGTTTTTTTTTATTGTTCCGAAATTTTTTTAAACTTGTTTAAAGACTTTTCTGTGGATTATAGAGACCTACACATACCAAATTGTACGCCTGTGCACAGTTTTGCCTCTCGTATTGATTCATTCAAGATGGAATTTTCTGTGATGTTTGCACCAAAAAAAGTGGTCTCCATAACCTTTTTCTACAAACTTTTGCCGTATAAAAAGTTGCTTTTAGAATAGGTCCCTATCAAGCAATCTATCATATAATTTGACATGTATTTTAAAAACCAATAGACCCGTCTAGATCACCCTTAGATAGACCATGCCCGTTTGCAGTTGTCGTCTCTGAGCGCAAAAAAAACAAGGATAGCCGGTGGCTATGTAGTAGCAGAGAATCTTCCAACCATAATCTGAAAAAAATAAAAAAAATGTTTTTCAGTTTTTTTTTCCAAATTTATGTTTTTCAGGTTTTTTTCCAAAATTAGATTGCGAGTCATAAGATGAATGCAACTGATGATAACCTAGAAGTTAGCCATATTCAACAATCAGAGTAAAGTAAGTCAATCGGGCAACGATTTTTTTTGTCAAAAAATGACAAAAAAAGTCAAAAACAATTTCTAATTTTTTTTCAATAGTTTTTTTTTGCAGAAATGGTTTCGAAACTTTGAAGTTTTTAATACGAAGATGGCGCTAAAGACCACTTCGAACATTTTTTTTTACTGGAGTTCAACTGAAGTATCAAGGCTTATTCTTCTAACATAAACCTGCTCGCTTGTTTGACTCGCTCGAAAATTGACTTACTCTGAAAACCGGTTTTCCTCAACACTGGGATGTTATGAAAAAATATATTGTCGTTCGAATCAGTGCTGAAAGGTCTTTAGTATGATATATCACTCCACCCATGACGATGATTATTTGCGGTGATTGCTTTTAATTGAAAAACAAAATAAGCCTGCTCGCTCACATATTCGCTCGAAATTAGAACAAATATCAAAAATTGTGTACTGATTTTTCTCGCCACTGGTAGATTTTTCAAAGTTTGTTAATGTCATTTGAATCGCGACTGAACGGGCTTTAGTATGATATATTGCTCGATCCGTTCTGATGATATTTTTTGGTACCTGATTATGCGTAGAAATAAGAAAAAAGTAAGTAAAAAACCCCAATACAAAGTTCCTCTCCATTTTCAATGGTCGGATCAACAAGAAATTTCAATCGGATAGTGAAGTGATACCAATGCTCACAATAATTTAAAATTTGAGACCTCAGCGTCAAAATGTGTTTGACTATGCTTATTGGAAAACAACACTCCGAAAGGCTGACAATTATGCCTTATTGACGCTCTTAATTTTGGTGCTTACCTTCATGGTTAATCGCCTACGATAATGTAAATTATCTATGAATCAAATTGAAAACAAATGGGTCATCATTAATTATTGTTGTTTTTTGTCTCTTCTCGGGTGCTTTGTTTGTTTTTGTGGGAATCTTTCGTGTATCTATATTAGGTGCGTGAGCATAAAAGTATCGATGGAAGTTCCTTCGGAGACTGTATGGCCGTGTTGTGCTGCTACCCGTGTGCACTATGTCAGGAGGCCATAGAAGTGGAGGCCAACCTCATGGCAGAAGGCCATACACAGACACCTTCTGCTACTCCCACCATCATCAGGGCATGAATGCAAACTGTGGAAAATGAACTTGAAATACTGTCAAACCGGAAAAACAGACTGGAAAATGATATTGAAGGAACAGATTCCGAGGATTTCGAAAAATATGTATTTTTAAATTGCAAGTAACTTGTCTTTACAGTTTTTTTTTAGAAGATTGGGAAAATAAAAAAGGCAAATTAAGAAAACGCGACTAGGAAAAGACCAAAAAGGAAGTTTACAGTTTGCCTTTTTTATAGATTGGTTTTGGATCAGTCGAATAGACTGCAAACCAACAGATAGAGAAATTCACAGTTTGTAGAGGAGGTTTTGAAAAAACAATCTCCCTCCCCCATACGCCCCCCCCCCCCCCCCCCCACTGACACACGACTCCCACCCGCCCCCAATGGTATCTCCTAAAGAATATCCATTCCTCTAAATAAAAAACATTTAATTAGCTCTAAAGCGTTCTATTGAGAGAATTCTATTTTTGTTGCATTCGGATTAGTCGAATAACTGATAAATTCAATCTATTTAATAATCTGCCACTTTCTTGAAAGGGGGAGATTGTTAAGTAAATTCGAAGTTTCTACTTGCAAAACAATTGAGCAACTGTAAAACTAGGATAAAAGCTTATGACAGAAAGCACCGTTGCCGATGCCTCAATAACATTGCGTATCTTTATTTTAAAAAAATCTCCACCTAGGTTCAAGAAATTAACAGAAAAACACCAAAGATTTTTCATTTCGAGACAAAAATAAAACAAGAATAGCCGATTGCTGTGCAAGTAGCACAGAATGTTTCGACCACATTTTCAGAAAAACAAATTGTTTCTTAGTGTTTTTATTTGTATATCATGTGATAAAACAACTATATGAACGCGTAAAAAATTTGTGAATTATGCATAAACGAATCAAATGGTCTTCAAAAAATAAATTATAAATATAAACTTTTTCTAATTTTTTCTCCTTTTTCTCCACTCAAAATTTTAAAGATTTTTCTAAACTATTTATTTTTTGCCAGAGAAGAGCTAAATTAAGCTTCTTTTTAGTAAAATCAAGTTTTTTCAGCCTAAACTTCTAATTTCCTTTTTAAACAAACGTTAATTGATTGTAAACGCTTTACTTGCTCGAAATTAGATGAAAACTCAAATATTTCAAACCAGTTTTTCTCGACTTAAGAAAAAGTTTTGAGAAATGTGGTTTAATGTGGTTCGAATCGCGACTGAAACAATTTTAATATCTAAGTAGTCATGATTTCATTTGAAATATTGAGAATTTATTTCTCACCAAGTATCAAACATTTCCTAAATGATTTTCGGCGCTGAGACACCTGCCAGCGGACTTCAGGGTCCAATGGTGCTATCCTAGGCAGTAAAATATTTGGAGTGACTTTTAAATTTATGAACTTCCCAATTGGAATTATTGTTACTTTTATATGATATATCATTCAACCCAGTCCGATGATTATTTGTATTACCTGATTTTGCGTGGAAAAAAAACCATATACAAGTTCCTCCCCATTTTCAGTGGTCGGAACAACAAGTGAACATGAAGTTTTATCCATGTATTAGACCCAACTATTAGTTCAAACAACAACTGAATTTCTACATACATTTGATTGACAGAAAAAGAAAAAAAGTGATTTGTTATTAGGAATTTTGATCCGGAGACTACTGGTAGTTCTCATGTGTTTGATCTGGAGCTGTTCTTAAAGTTGTTGCAATGTATCGCATTTCCAGTGAGTTGCCCTAGTTGATTAAGGGAGGTTATCTTGCAAGATCTTGCAAGAATCTTTCAAAACAGCCTCCTTTAAGGCTTCCAAAAAACTCTTTACATGAAGATAAAAGTATGTTTTTCTTACCAGTAGACACTTCATCGGTAGCAAGTGGAAAATATTAATTACTTGAGCAAATCAACATTAAAAAGATAGATATAGCTTCATAATAATCAGAACATAATTGTTATCCGATTTATGTGAAAACATTATACAAATTATCTCAAGCTAATTGACACTAAATTATCAGACATTGATCAAGGCATACATAAACACGCCATTCAAAAGGAATAGTAATTTTCAGCATTTTTGAAAAAATATAAAGCGAAAAGGGAACAAAGTCCAACATTATTGTAGCCAGGACTACGTTATGCACACAAAAAATTAAATTTTGCAAGCCGAATTTTTTCGGAAAAAAAATTGTTTGCGTACAAAAATAGATTTGCGGTTGAAAAAAAAATTTTGAGGCAAATTCAAAATTACTCTATAAAAGTAATAATTTAAAGACAAGATTTTTTTGTGAAAAAAACTTTACACAAGAAGACAAGTGTACATTTTTTACCAGCAGACACTTCACCAGTAGCAAGTATTAAAAAAATAAATATAACTTCATAATAATAAGAGCATAAATATTTATTCGGATTTTTGTGAACACAACATAAAAAAATATCTCAAGCTAATTGACTCTATTTGTCAAAATTTTGACCAAAAAATAAAGAAAAATTGAAATTTAACCGCTAGAAGTGCAAAACTAGATGAAAAATTTGAACAAAGTCAATAAACTTGTTTTTGAAATTTTTAATTTGAAATGATTAAATTATAACGACGATCTGAAACTATTTACTTTAAGAAAAACCAAAAATCAAAATTTATATGAACGTTTTCAAAATTTGCGTAACCTAATTTTTTTCCGAGCTTAAACTCAGATTTTTTGTGACCGTAGTCAAGTTGGATCTACACAATTTTTTCTGGTGCTTAATATAAGGATTCGTGAAAATTTCGTAGTTGGTTATCTTGCAAGATTCTAGCAAGATAACCTCACTCTTGCAAGATCTTGTAATATAACCCTCCCCGATCGACTAGGGTGGTAACTTACTCATTTGCAAGTCATGAACAAGTTCGCATAACGTTTGAAAACAGATATTGTTATTTCACTATAACCATGATCGGGTGTATATTTCACCTCCTCCTGCATTTTTTCTTCGGGATCAGTTTCTTTGATGTTAGCCTCAACATAAGGTTAGTTGATATATGATATATGAGAAACTTCCTACAATTTCATACAATTCCATATGTTCAGAAAATTGTTTGAAATCTTTATGATAAACATTTTTTTTATTTATGAGAATTGTATGGTAGGTATTTTCCATAAACCAAAAAACTGATTTTTTGTTGACTAAATATAATTTCTGAAAAAGTTTGGGTTGTGCTTGTAACCGAGCACAAGTGACAAAGAGCTTGGATACCCAATTTTCGGAATTTGCAACAAAATTAATGTGTCGACAAAATTTACGTTACAGGTATTTGTACGCGGAATCCACTTTCATTTTGGAACATATTTAAGGACTTGTCTCTGGAAACCAGGAACATACAGACAAAAAATTGTGCGCCTATCCAGTACACAGTTTGGCCCATGGACATAATGTCAACGGCGGATAATGTTATCATAAACCTAGATGAAGAACCTAGATTCGCTTCTCCGTCGCAATCTGAGACACTTTGATTTACCATTCAACTCTTAACATGAAACTTAGCACAAAATTTTGCGTTATTCTCGGCTCCTACATAAGCATTTTTATATTAATATTACTTTTCGCGATGACCCCATATACCAATACACTAGCTCGGACTGGTACCCACAAAAAAAAGTATAATCAGTTCATATCAAAATCGAGTTTTTTGACGAGATAGGGTGATTGTTTTTCATTTCTTTTTCAACCGGGAAAAGAACGTTACTTGTCAGATAACTGGCACGTTCGAATCAGTTCCAAAAAATGCTGAGTTGGTCTGTGATCGCAGTTTGTTCATTAGAAAAAAATCTTTTCGTCAAAAAATTATTTACTGATAGCATGGTTCCATTAATCAATTTCTCTCAAGCACTGGAGTGAATCCTTGAAAAAATTCGAAGCCTCTTGTTTTTTTTTCTCTAAAATGACACCTGCAAAGAATCTTGTATATCCTTTGCGAGTCAATTTCATCTGGGATAAAAAAACAGTTTAAAATTTAATAGAAAAGATCTGGTCTAAAATTAGTGTTTAATTTGTCAATTGGATTGATTACTATCAAATTCAGCATCACATGCAAACAACTCAAAAACATCACCATATATATTTTTTTTACTTTTTCCAGTGCGCTTCTGATGCAGTTTCACTTCCAAAACCACACATATCTTATCAATTATTTAAACTCGCCACCGCTTCCTTCGATTTCAAATCATCCGCAAATTTTTTCAATCACTTTTCCACGCGATTGGAAAATTGTTTAAAAAGAAAAACGAATAGAAGCCACTTTTCACATTTGTGAGCAAGCAAAACGCAAGCAGCCGTAGAAGCGTTTCCTGAATGTTGAATTTTTGATAGTTGAATAATGGCAGCGGTTCAAAACTACAAGAGCACTCTTATGGTTGCTATTTGCTCGTTCTTGTCAAATTCTGCCAAACCATCCAAAACAAAGGAGAATATCCCAAGCAACTCATTTATACTTTAAACATTTAATCTTGTAATTTGGATGAAATATTGGACTGAAGATGAAGACTTGGAGAGTGTCTATATCTCAAGAAGGATTTTCTCACTGCAATTTGGCCGTGGAAAAACACGATGTGAGTCTCTTCTCTTCTATACTTAGCTCAAAGTTTCTCCATGTTTAAGCTTTTAGCCTTTGATGATATTTAGATTTTTGACGTTACTTAAAATTAAAGTTAAGGCAAGAACGATTATAAATTATTTTCGCTCTCTTAAACTGGTACGAATTTTTTTCGTTGAGTGTTTTATAGTGTTTTATATTTTTTTTCCAAAATTGCTTACTATAGTTTTTGAATTTATCAATTATTTTTTTTGTGTTTTTTTTCTAAGCAACAGTAACACATTATGCCTAATTTACTTATAATCTAAGCTTTTTATTACACCTCGTACAAAAATTACAGAATTTTCAAAATCCTGACGTCAGCAAACGCAAGTTGATGGTTGATGTGTTCATAGCGCGCAATTAATTGACCGTCTAAAGGTTATTTTATATGAATATCGAGAAAAGTTTTAAAAGAGAAAAATTCGAAATTTACTTAATTTTTTTTTGCAAATTTTTGTAAGGGTGACCATTGCCTCATCGAGGAAAGCGACTTACCAGGGTTCGTGCTCTAGCCTTGCAGCTGAATA